CCATAAGGTCAAATCCCACATATGCCAGTAAGTTTCAAAGAGAAAAGCTTTTCCACAGCCAGTGACTGTACCCCTAATTTTGACCAGCTGTTATGCAAGTGCAGGCTAAGGGTACCAAGTCAAGAAATGCAAATGGCACAGCTGAAACCCAGCCCTACTCAGAGCAATACTAATGCTGGGTAAAGGTATCTTTAAAGGTCAAAATTGTGCACTCTCTTATTTATTGCAAAGGCAGTAGGTATCAGTTTTGCTCAAGGTTTAGAGACCTATAAGTTCTTAATTGTCCCCTCTAATTTAATACTGGGAAGTTGAAAATTTAACCCATTCGCTTGTCCTTGTGCTGAAGATGAGAAATGTCAGTTGGTCATCCCCAGCAAAAAGAAAGGGCAATGTGTTTGCAATGTGCTTGCATGTGTTCTCATATGGTTGAACTGCCTGCGTGTCTTTGGTCATGTCTGAGCTTCCATTCCATCCCTGAGAGGTTGGAACCCAAGCTTAAAACAAACAAACAAAAAGAATCCCCAAAGAAGCTGGCTCCTCTTTCTTTGAGTAGGTGGAATCTTCTGTCATTGAGGATGAACGGAAACTATGTAAAGAAGATAAAGGAGACTAAATGTTCTTGGGCCCTACTTAAATCCAAGGTTCTTCTTCCTTGAATAGCACCAAATCCTTGTTAATTACAACTCAGACTATGAGTCTGTTAAAGTTAGAAGAGGTCATTTACTTTGACAAAATCCCCTTGTTTTATAGACAAGGACATTTCAGCCCAGGAACTTTAAATGCTTGCCAAATCCATACAGCTAATGAATGACAGGTCTGGGAACAGTTTTCTGAGCACTGTATTTCAAATGAAAGAAGCTTGAGTTAATAGTAGTAACCTCGATCTAGGAAGGTTACCGCAATCAAAAGCAATGAAATTCATTGCAAAGTTTCACTTCGACTCTTTACGAAACCCACAAAGAATGCCATTTGTTCATCCAGACCTGTTCTCAATAACTATGCACAGGAACTATGTTTTACAAAAGCTATAAATCTGGAACAGCCGAAAGGCTATCCAACTTTCTTTTCTAATTGATTTACTTCTCCTTTTTCCCAGACCGCTGAGGTAAAGCATATACAGTTTATTTAAGGGACTGTTTATAGACTCTTAAAACTAAAAAGGACCCTAGAAACCTGCTTTCTTTTGGTTGCTCTTAATTGGAACCATCCAAGATGGTTGGTTGTCCATCAATTTTTTAAGTATCTCCAAGGAGAGAGATTCCACAAGCCCTAAAGCACATGTTAAAATGGTTAATCACCATGACTGTCAAAAATTCTATCTATGGTGAGCCTAACTTCTCCTATTTCTCTTGAAACTCTTCCTCTTGCTATGTTTCATGCAAAATGAGGTTATAACAAGCCATCCCCCATGAGGGCCTCATAAGTCTGGTAATAGCTAGCTCTTCCCCAAAGTGCCACCTCTATTATGCCACCATTTTTCTCACAGGACTATGAAAGCACAAGACTGGTTGATAGGCTCTCTTGCTATGATGTATAGGGAAGAATCAGTAATTAGCTCTTCATTGGAACTTTCATTTCATAAAATGTCTGGGGAAGCTGCATTAATTATAGAGGAACTATTCCATTTATGCTGGGAAGATGTTCAAAAAATAGATTAGAAGCTTGATTCTACTGTGTTCTTGTGAAATTTGGGCTTGTAGAGAAATATGAGTTAATTTACAGCTTAGGTCAATCTATGCAAAATAAGCATTGGGAACAATTTTATTCCCAAGAGTTCTGTCTCCACAAGGGTTAAAAAAAAAAAGCCTCTCCTTGTTAAACTTGCTGTCTTGACTAAAAAGGTATATACAAAGACAATTTTCTTTTAGATATTTGAATTTCAGACTAAGATCAGAAACTGCCTTCTACCATTTAAAAAAATCCATACCTTCAAAATAGATTTGAGTCTATTTGAGTCAGCCACCATGTACTTTGAAAATAAGGATAAAAACAATAACAGAGTCAACTGAGCGAGGGAAGAAGCAGGGAAAACTGCTTTACTCTAAAATATATTTCAAAAACTATAAATGCTTTGAGTTGATCTCTTCACACACAGCAAATCTCAGGGGACATAAAGGAAACTCAGTAAAATTTGTTGACAACACTTAATGCCTTTAAGAATAATTGGCTCGGATACAGAACAGATCATCAGAGTAACTTGGAGACAGAGAAGATGCAGTGTCTAGATCACTGCTGGTATACATTGTATTCAGTTGAAAAAAGAAAAACAGTTTTATCAAATAGTTGGGTAAATATTAGACGAGAATTGTCCAAAGTACTTGACAAACGTAATTCTTAGGGTTTTAAAGACAAACAAGTAATTCTATCCCATTCAATTGGATTCAATTCAATTCAATCCAGTATGAGGCACTACATACCAGCCAGGCTTTGGATGAGATACTGGGATTCAATGGTAAATAATATAGCCTTTGGCATTAAGGATGCCATTGGGAAGGTTGATCCTAGTTAGGTGATTTCAGAAATGAGACAAAATAGGAAAAGAATAAAGGACTTTATTCTCTCAGAATTATTTTTCTCTTAAGATATTGATAATACCTATGTGCATTTTTTATTTCCTCTCCTCATCAGATTGTGAGTTCCTTTTTTTAATTAATTCATTTTTTAAAAATTAAGTACCATTGTTTTACCCCCTTGTTAATTTTTTGACAGTACAGGATTTCTCCACTCAGGAGTGGTTACCATAGCTCAGTTGTGAGTTCCTTCCAGGCAAAGTCAACCTCATTCATCTCTAGGCATCTCATTCAGACCGAGTACAGTGCCTTACACATAGCAGATGCGCCATCAATGTTTTGACTTAAAGAATTTAAAGGGGCTAAATTTTCTTGGGCAACAATGTTTGTCTACTTGACTAGAAAATTAACCAGAATGCTTTTGTCTATGAGGGTCTATGTCATTCAAAGAATTTACATAAACATGGAATTCTATAAGGCAAAATTGATGAAACATAGATTTCCAATGACAATAATAATACATACTTTATAAATCCACTTTCTATCAGTCATATTGTAAATACCAAGAGTTTCCATATATAAATTTCTCCTTTCAATATATTGAGACAATAAAAAGTTGCTAAACTTTGATCATTAGAATAATTGAATAAAAGGACCCTTCCAGTACTGTGAAATTGGTTTTTATCATAATTGTCCAAATTAAGTATAATGAATTATATCATTTCATATGGTTACTTGAGACTGGATTTTTTTTTCCTTCTCATTTTTCATCATGCAATGCAAACATCACAGCCCCCTACAGGAGGCTCCAGTTTCTGTGCATGGAAATCCTGGAACATGTGATCTTGTACATAATTCACCCAGGTACATAACAGAAGACACTTATAGGTTTGGTGATTACTGAGTGAACTAGATCAAAGGAAATTGCACAAAGGAATTATCAAGGCAAACCCCAAAATCTTCTTGGGCATAATAAGTGAGAACCACCTATTTAATTTTCAAACCCAGAAGCAGCAAAGTGAAGAATAATGACAACCTATCATTGGGTGATATTGATGTGACACATTTACCTTTTGCAGGATGTTTTAAAGTTAAAACAAGTCTGCTATTTGAAAAGAATCCACCCAATGTGCTCATTCATTGCACTACAATAGAAAATTGGATAAAGTTTCTTTATGGCCAGAAGAATAAAAGAATTCACCCAATTAAAGCATTGATTGGAAACAGAGGGTGGGAGTTTTCCCATTCAATTAGTAGAAAGCACTTCTCAATCTCTGTCCCTAGTTGTTTAAAGGTTATTTGTTGTCAAATCTATGATGATGCCAGCCTGTTCCTTCCCATATTCCCTTTCCATCCCAGACCACTATCCATAGACCCTTCCCCCCGAGTCTCTCTCTCTCTCTCTCTCTCTCTCTCTCTCTCTCTCTCTCTCTCTCTCACACACACACACACACACACACACACACACACACACACACACACACACCCCTTCCCTGGGAAGATGACAGAGACTTGAAGTGTATGATTCATCATAGGAGCAAATCAAAGCTTAGTGGGTAACTGAGGTAATCTGTCTATGCTTGAATGATACAAACTCCAGGAATGATTCATGCTTACAGAGGCCTGAGTGCCAGCTTCCTGGAACTCTCTAAAATTCCAAAGAATTACATAGAATGAACACCTGGCTTTAACTCTCACCATCCTGTAACATACAATGAGACAAGTGCCTGGGAGGTAGACTCCTTGACTTCTGGGTGTGATATTATTTGCAATCATTGGCCTGGTGTCTACTTTTTATTGGCCATTGACTTTTAAATCACCCGAGACCTACTTATAAGTGAATTTGTCAGAAATCCTTCCCAGATGGAGGCATCCCCGGAGCACCCCAGAGTAAGAAAGAAGTAACAGAAAATCAAGGTCAAATGGCATAGAGGCCAAGTTGGTGTGGCACTTCCGTTTGCATTTAAAGAGAACCCCCATATGTTTAGAGGGGTGCCTCTGAATGCAGTTCACCTTCCATCTGCTCATGGTGATTTCACATTGTGCAGAGCCATCTGCAAGTGCCTCCTCATTCTTTTTCCAAGTCCTCATGAATGGAGAGAACTTACTCTTTCACTCCAAAAACCAAGCACCTAAAACAGGTCTACCTGTTTCCTAGATCCATATAGGAGCCCACCAGATCTCAGAAACAAAAACCTCAGTCCCCCAGGTGGTTATTTTGTTCCCTCTTTTCACTGATAAGGTGAAAATGGTGAGGGTAGATAGTTGTGGGAAAGCTCAGCAGGAAGTAGTTAAAAGACAAACAGCTAAGGAGGAAAATTCCATCCTAAATCTGCAAAACCTGCCACAGTCCAGCCGAAACACTCTGTTTCCTTTAAGGTGAGGAATCTCAGCAGCCCAGGATGGCTGCCAGCTCGGGCAGCCATTCAGTTATTCACACACTCCCTGCGGTTGTAAATCCACAGAGCAGCGAGAGGGAGGGCTACTTACTGAAATAAAAGCCCCTGTCTCCACACACGAACTGAAGAGCGTCCACCAGCTCAGCCCCGCAGAGTGTCTCCGGTCCAGCCGTGGCGGAGCTGGTGAAGGTGAGCAAGCACAGGGCCAGGTAGAAGAGGTGTGAGGAGGACACGCTGTGCATCTTGACCTGCCGGAGAAACAGGAGGGTCATGTTTCCTCATTGGTCCTCGTCAGGGGGCAGGGGGTCAGGGGGGGACAGGGGTGCATTTATCCCCAACGTTCCATTACTGTCATTCATCGGGGCTCCCTGCACTCAGTGTGACCGAGTGCCTGAGAAACCATGGGGTGTCGTGGCCTGAGCACACCTTGACTTCAGTCAACCTGTGCTTAATCCCCCTGTGACTGTGGGACCTTGGAGAAGTCCTCCCTGAACTCTTTGATGGGTTTCTATTACAATTCAGTTCAATGAGACAAAAGGGCTAGAACATTTGCTAGGAAGGATGCAGTGCAGTTATTGCAATGGGACCCCACACTATTCCAAGCTTCTGGTAAACCTTTTGCATTATCAAAAGTTAAATTGTGCTCAGTCCAGACTTGGGGCCAAACAGGTTTTATTAATTTAGATTCCCTTAAGGTTGACCAACCACACATGGTATATGATTTCATTATTGTCCAGAATATTATATTAAACAGAACATCACCCCCAAGTTAGAATTCACTCTGGCTAAAAAAAGGACTTGTGAAGATACTATGTAGTGTTCAAGTTTTGTTTTCTTTCTTCACTTAAGTAGCGAGCAAGAGTGGGATAGAGAGAGATAAAGACAGAGAAATAGAGAGACAAAGAGTGATTGAGAAAGACAAATAGACACACAGATTTCTTACCTGGAGAATACCAGCAGTTAAAACAACCACAAGTGGAAGTAAAACAACAGATATAAGAAAAATGTGAAGATATAGGAATGCAATTGGCTCATGCTAAGTAGACATGACTCCTTGTACATTCTAAAGCTCCTGGTGTCAAGATTAATATCGAATCAACACACATGGAGAGTATATTCCATGAACAGGGCACTGGGTTCAAAATCCTATAAAATCTGTTTTTTGGTTTGTCTTTTGTTTTTTTTTGGTTTTTTGGGTTTTTTTTTAGTCTAAGGAATTCTGACTTCATCTCTTGGAGGGATTTAGGTGTCACTGTATTCATTTTATAGGAAAATATACCAAGGGATCCTTGGTTGGCTTGACTTAGCAGTCCTGACCAAGGTGGGCTTCCTGTGACTCCAGCCTCCCCTTACTATAAGGGGGAGACACAACACTAAGGAGGTGTTTTCTTTTCCCATATTACTGCTTGTAGCATCAAGATGTGGTTTCTTTTGGGAACCTGCCAAGATGAGTAGACTCACTCTCTCAGCTGCAAGTACTTTCAGCAACATTGGAGTCTCCACTAGGATTTTTAAGTGAGGAATCCTATTGACAGGGTTACAGAGTTATCTTTTAGTTGGAAAACTATCACTGTAAAAAGACACTCCTTGGAACCTCACAGTCGTGACAGGTTCACTCAACCCCATCACCTTTAGAGAAACAGACTCAGTCATTTCCTGGCCACCCCCTAACCCTCCATGAACTCTCAATGCCCTGGCTCTCCCTCAGTGGCAAAGTCACTGCATCATTTCCATATTTTTGTGGCTAGATCTTCAACTCAGCAATTGGGGAAAAACCTCAAGCGCCTGACTCTGGTTAACATAATGTAAATATTTAGTTAATGTTTGTAAAGCAGTGGAAGATGAAAAACATCCTCTATTTGCAAATCATCATAAATAATGGACAGAAAATAGAAGAGGAGGTGAACATTTCTTATTTGCTTAATAAGACCCCCAATAAAGCCAAAGCCAGTGGGAACCAAGTGGTCATTCTGTGCTCACTTTTCAGAATTATAAAATAAATCTTGGGTGGGGGTTTCCAATTTTGAAATACACAGTAGGGGTCTCCAATGGAAACTTCAATAAATCCAATCCAACTTGATTTCATTGCTCTTTTTAAAAGAGCAAGCTCTTTGGAGTTGATTGATCTTGCAGAACATACCCCCATACTCTGGCAATAGGTGGGTGCTAGAATATGCATCATCCATTCCTATTTCTCCTTCTTCTTTGTGGAGTTTATAGTAATGCTGATGGCCAAGCACCTGCAATTACAGATGCCCTCGAGTTCTTCAGTGCTGGTGAAATCCAGGGGGAAAGTCATTCATTTTTAGCTTTAGTGAATTGAGAACTTTACTAGATGCCCAAACTATATTTTTAATAGTTACTCCTGATACAACACATTTAAGTTCAACAATATAAATCTTTAACATTTAAGAACTTAAGATTTTTTTTTATAGACATTTCCCCACCGAGCTATGTTGTCAGGTAAATATCAGCACTAGTTTTAGGACTAATAGAACCTCCAGTACACTTTCCTTTAATTCATGGAACAGTCCAGTCACCCAGAGAGAACCAGAGAATTTATCACATTATGTCCCCCCCCACAAAAAAAAAACAATAATGAACTTGCTGAGGAGTTAAGCTTAAAACAAGTGGCCCCATATGTTCTGCACTGCCCCCTGGCCTTTTATTTTGCCATATACAAAAGAATAGAAGCAAGAGAAAGGAAAAATCCAATAAAGGAATAGGTAGGGAGAACTAAAAAGAAAGAAAAGTGAAAAAAATGAAAAAAAATTGAGATCACTCATTAAAAAGTCATTCACATAGCTAAAATTTAAAAGGCCTTTCTTTTTTTTTAATCTTAAAAAAGTAAAAAACAATTGAATCCAGATGTCTGGGCTACAGCGAAAATGCCCAGCAAAATTTGAGGGCAATAGTCATAAGAAAATACTCACTGTAGGTGTAACCATTTTTGTTTGTTCCAGATCTTTTACAGCAGGTCAGGATGGGTATTATGAGGCTGATGTGAATAGAAACTGAGGACTTAAAAACATGTGCTGTTTGGTGGGTGGGGTTTATGAAAAGCATCTAGTTACATTTGGACACCCGGCAGGTATGCTGTGGGCCTGTGTAAACTGCCTTTTGTCCATTCAAACAAATTGCACAGCTGGGATTTGAGTCAATCTATTCCCCCCCCAACCCCCCAACCCCCAATTAAGACACCGATTTCCATTTTGTGCTCATTTTGGCCAGTTCAGACAGTGACCCAAGCCCCAGCCCTCTATCATCTTCCCTCTGACTCAAACACTTGCAAATACCTTGAGACCCAGAGTACAATCAGCATGTGAGTTCAGACCCTAGCCAGGACACCTTCATTCACTGAACTGCATTTCAAACACCATACAGCTCCCTCAAAGCACTAACTGCTCCAAGCACAGGCTAAAGCAACAACTTACAGCTAGCTTGCCTCCTAAAAAGTTCAGCACACACAGCATGCAAAGTGCACTTGGAGTCAGTTTTCCAAACTTATAATTAATGCAAGATAACATGCTACAGCCTCTTTCACCATCATCTAAACAGGGAAACGAAGCCCCAGCTGCTAGACCACATAATCCGCATGTGTTTGCATCTGTTGGCTTCATTTCCTTTAAGAGCAAGGTAGCCGGCATTCTGTCTTGGCAGCTCAAGGGCAGCAAAATCAGGTGCTTTACAGGGATGTATCTGTAACTCCCAAGCCACTTATTTGTCTAGGAAAAAATCCTAGTGGTGGAGTATCTGAAAGCAGCGAATGAACACAGTCCTAAGTGGCAGAGACGCTTTATGAATTGAGCACTCAGGCAATTGCATAGGAAAGTCAGTGACAGCGGCTTAAAAGTGCTTGCAAATTGGAAAAACACAAGTTTGGAAGGATATAATTTTGCTGAGAATGGAAACTTGAACTAGGGCCAGTGACTGAAAACAAGAAGTTGGTCCATTGACAGCGGCAGCCAAATTCACCTAAAGAGACTTTACAGCACCCGAGCATAAAATCTGAGTTTTACAACACACATCCCCGAGTCCAAACTTTGCTCGTGAAAGTCCTTTTCAAAAGAGAAAAGTTGGACAAGCCGTTGCTGAGCAAGTTTCCGCTTTCCATATACAGTATGCATTTGTTTAAATTCCCCGAATATGCAAGGTCAGCAAGAGTTGTCAAGGAGTTCTTTTACAGAAGAGCACATTAAACTTCACTAAACTGAGCATTAAGTGCAGAGAGTTCCGGGACCTTAGCTCCAAAGATCATACTTAAAAGCTTTAATATAATCTAAATGTAACTCTTTATAGGAGGCATGCCTTGTAATAAAAGTCCTGACAACTTACACACACACACACACACACACACACATGTGCCCATACACACGGACATAGTCTTAAAAATAAAACATCTGCACCTGCAAAAAAAAAAAAAGCCCCAAGTCCAAAAGTTCGTATTCCTGCTCTGTAGCCCTTAACCATAGAGAGGATTTAAAAGAATTTTCTATAATAACACCACTGAAGCCCTGCAGAAGTAGAGGATTTATCACAAGTACCTTGCAATAGTTTCTGCTCATACAGATATCTGTGCAAAGGCATCCATCTCCCGGAGCTATTTTTTCAGATCCCACAGAAATGCATATTCAGCAATTTATAAATAACTCACAGTTCCGAAACAATGAAAATTCTAAAGTGAATAACATTCCTAGGCAGAAACAAACAATACACAATTTAAATAAAATTCCCCAATGACTTCAAAGAGTAAGAAATATTTACCTTCAAGAAATCACAAAAGCAGCACTTAAATAATTGGGTTGGAAGACTGCTGATTTTTCCCATTGCTTCTGAAGTGCAAAGTCTGGAAATGAATTGGTTAGCAGGAATAATGAGGCAAAAAGAAATCCAGAGAGATGGGAGATGTTGAGAGCAATGTCACATTTCAATTTTGAGGACTTTATTCCATTGCGCAGGCTCTATCTGCTCTGAATTTAGCAGTGACAGTGAGATTTAGCAAACAGAAGAGGGATTTAGAGAAAATCCTCACATTTATCTACAAAACACAGACACTGTAGACAGGAAACAGCTGGGGGAACATTTGCCTTCTCTCTCTCTCCCTCTTCTGGCAAAGTTATCGAGTAAGGACTTTTTTGGGCATGGTGACAAATAACATCATACCTTTGCATTTTAAAACTAGAGCACAGAAGCATTTTTTTCCCTTAAAAGAATGTGCGTTAGTGACAGGGTTAGCAGACATTAAAACGCTGGCGCTGCCACAGAATATAAGAATCTATTCTTTGATTAACTTTCTATTGACCACGGAGACAAGCGCGCGCGCGCGCGCGCGCGATCGCGCGCGAGCGCGCGTACACACACACACACACACGCGACACACACACACACCTCTGCTTACACACCTTATCGGTATTAAAAGAGTATACACGGGGAGGGGGTGAGCAATTTTACATGGTAAAGCGAACGTAAAATTTACAAAAAAAAAAAGAAAACGCGATCGTCTCCAGCAGACCCTGCGATTTAACCCTGGAATGGCCGGAACAAACTAAATTGGAAGACAGCCCTAGGGCGACCCCTCGTCCTAGTTGCCAAGCAAGGGAATGAGCTCATTTCCTAGAACCTAGAAAAAGGGCAGGCGGCATGCAATTGGCTCCGTTTAGGATATTGTCTCATGCTTTTTGCCCGCGACAGGGCAAAGACTTTGCTGAGTTTAAAGCCAACTGAAAAAATAAAATAAAATCTTTTTCTTCCTTCCTCTGCTAGGCTGCCTGTCACCTCCACAGGGGAAGGGCACCCGAGGGGCAAATTATTTTCCCAGTGTTCACATTTTTTCTGCATAACTTCAACCTACGAGTGTGTGCATTTTCTTTCTCCAATTTTTGTGTATTCTAAATAACACCAGCTGGCTAGCAGTACCCTCTCAAGGGTTATGATGTCATTCCAATCCCTCAACTGGATGAGTGGCCGATAATATGGTCCAAGCCAGCTGTTTTGCTATTTACAATATATACTTGCCTTTGTCATGGAGAATCAAGATCTGATATTTCATCGATACAGTTTGTACTGGTTTCTCTTTGGTTTTGCGAGGTGGTAAATAAAAAGGTGGATTATGAAATAAGGTTGCAAAAGTGCAGCTCAGACGTATCACTTTCCCTAGATATCTATCCAGGTTTAGAGTCCCACGATCTTTATGTTGTCCTGTGTCCTGAAAGCTGTTTGGCAAGGTGAGGGTCCTCCAGGGAAAACCAGGTTATTTTTGCAAGGGGGTTGAATTTAGCTGAGTCTTCTGGGTGGTTAGTAGCAATGTTTGCTCTCCAGAAAGAAAAGTTGGGAATTTGGAGTTTCAAAGGTGCACTATATTACCCCTTTGAAATTCCAGAAAGGGGGAGAAAGGCTGTGTTAGGAGGGGCTTTGGAATACAAGGTTGGCAACTTCGGTGGAGACGATTTGACCTGAGAAGAATAAACAGATACATGTCATTAAGGCCAGGTAAGCGTCTGCAGGTGTGTGGGGGTAACCCCTGTATTTCAGAGGTTATCCAAGGCTTATTTTAACCCACACCCTCCCCTGCACTTAACCTGTGACTTGATTAACCAGAAATCCTTCCAAGATGTCCTGAAGCTCAGCGCAGGTCCACGAGGCTGTGCCCAGGTCAGATGTTCTCTTGGGACGCATGCTGGGCACAGAACACCTCACCCAGCCCCTGCAGGTGACGGCCACTGGAGACAGAACTCATGCTGCGCCATCAGACGTGTGCTCCTGTGATAGCCACACACCAATGCACAGTCACTTGGTTTTATAACCCCAATTACCCTTACAGGATAATTGGGTTTTAATTTATGTCCCAGTTTTTATGTCCCAATCAAGGAAAACTGAAATGTCAGTGAGTCGTAATTATCATCAGCTGTGCTGTGGAAACATTCCACTGTGAACTCTCGGTTTCCAATAGGAAAAGCACGTTCCTGAGGTGGTTATTGTATATTTCAATGTGGAGAAGGGTCTGTTTTTCTAGGGAGGGTGAGCCAGCAATAAGGCAAGGCAAGCATTCCTAGAGAAATGGGCACGTTCCTGGTTGGTTCCAGGCATCAGCGTGAAGAAGGACCATGAATATATAATATGAAGACCTGGGAGTGACTGGGTCCTGTTGCAGCCTGGGAGACAAAGAAATGGGACATGTTACCCGAGTTCTGGTAAAGGTGGTAGTAAATCTGATGCCCAGGCTGTGAAGGGCCAGTGGAGAGAGACCAGGTCATTCTAAAGTTACTGAATGATTAGGTTGTCTCCCGCCTGGAACAATCTGACAGATATGGGAATTGTGTGGCACCAAAATAGCTCTCTGCAAGGATGTGCTCATCATGAGAACATCCACTCCTGGAAATTCAGAGATTCACAGTTTCACCTTTTGCATGTGTAATGACTATGGGATATAAATAACTCTCCCCTAAAGCCCTTTTCTTGAGTAGTGCATTTACATAAAGCTCCAGCCTCAGAAGACTTCTGACACCTTTCTTAAAAAAAAAAAAAAAAAAAAAAAAAAAAACAAAAAGAAAGGAAAAGAAAAGGTGTTTATTTCCTTAAAGGGCCGCTTGATTGAGATTGACAGAAAGGGATGGACAAGATCCAGTTCCCACCCTTTTTTGTTCAAATCATGTTCCCGGTCTTTCCATGGCCACTGCAGAGGGGCCCATACAAGGGTACATTCATGGCCTCATGCCCTAGGACATATTAGCTTAGCTCATGAAGGCTCTGCTGACACCTAAGAAAAGCTCAGAACGGGTGGTCAAAAGGTGAGTTCTAAGGGTCTAGGACAACCCACAAGGTGGAGAAGTTGGACAAGCATTGGGGGCATCCTACAGATCGTGATTTGTGGGCAAGGGTGGTCTGGGAGTGTATTCTGTAACATTTAGTTCAAGAGCTTGTCAATTTAGAATGTAAAACTCAGAGGAAAAGGCCAGACCTCAAAAATATAATATGCTTCAAAACCAAACCAATAACAAACCCTAGAAATCTGACTGTGGAATTGAGGCTGCCAGAGGGGCCCCAGGGTCTATGGAGAGGTCTGTGGGGGCTTCCTGGTGGGTGTGGTGTGGTGCCATGCTGCTGCAGAGGTGTGCTCTAGACCTCTGCATTATATACAGTGATGTGCATCAGTGTTATCTCAGTAGAAAAATAAAAACAAAACTAGCATGGTGTTGAGCAGGGGACCGATGTCTGTTCCGAAATCTGCTGTGAGGCACTAGTATTCCTCCGAAAGATCTTTAGCTCAAACAACCTGCTCTAAATCCTTAAAGGGACGTTTTCCCTACAGCTGGGGAAGACATTCTCAGGGAGAAGCAGACTTCTCACTACAGACATCCTGCTTCTTTTCAACATCAAAATTGGGTCTGATGCCTTCTAATATGTCAAAAGGGCAGATGCTGAAAACAGAAACAAAAACGGTTGTGGTTTGAAGAGCAAGAAAATGCATCATAACGGCAGACAAAGAGTCACTGCCTGGAGTGAGAGAAGCTGAGGGTGCATCTCTTTTGCCCCTGGGTAAAGTACAAAGCAGGGACAGGAGGCTCGGATTGCAAGCCTTTGGGGCAGGACCCACAAGCGTGCGTTCACTGGGACTCGCACAATGTGCGCGCCCTCTAGTGGGCTTCGGGGAATCAGCCACTTCCACGCCACCCGTGCCTGTGTGACACTTGGGAGGGGGCTTGATGAAACCTGCTGGATTCCCTCTCTGAAGAAGTTTCTTTTTGGCTCTTCTGCCCATTTTTTTGACTGGATTATTTACTTTGTTTTTGTTGAGTCTCATCAGCTCTTCGTAGATTTTGGTGATCAGTCCTTTATCATCAGTGTTGTGTGCAAAAATTGTCTCCCAATCGGTGGGGTGTCACTTTGGTTACTGTCTCTTTTGCTGTACAGAAGCTCTTTAATTTGATTCAGTCCTAGCTGTTTATCTTTGCCTTCACTATCACTGCTTTGGGTGATGTGTCTTTAAAGTTGTTACTGAGGGGTCTATGTTAGGGGGAAAAGGATGTCCTAAAGCTAATTCCATACAGGCTTTGTGGACTCCACCCCCACCCCAGGCCAAAGCCAAAGACTCTGGGAACTCCAAATCCCATCACCACCAAAGGGAAGGTGGCTGGGACCTGAGGGTGGGGTTCAGCAGCCAGGTTGGTATAAAGCCAGACACGTGGGCTTTGGAGGGGTCCCCCATTTTGGCTCTCCACCAGCTCGCAGCGTCCGGCCAGCTCTGAGAGTGCCTTTGGGTTTCCAGGTCGGCGGATCGGGTAGGACGCATTAAAGACTTTATTTCCCTATTTTCTCCCTGAGTTGTACATTTTCCTTATTTCCTTTTCCCTTGTAAATAAACCTTTTATTAACCTTTTGTGTGTGCCTGTAGTGGAGTATTCATAAGTCCCTTGTAAGCGCGCGGGTGAGGACCCACAGCCAGGCAGCCCGTTCAATATTGGGGCTGCCCTGTAACATATATCATGGAGTGTTTCGCCTATATTTCCTTCTATATATTTTATGGTTTCAGGTCTTATGTCTAGCTCTTTAATCCATTTTGAGTTGGTTTTTGTGCATGGTGTGGGGTGGTAGTCAAGCTTCTTTCTTTTGCATGTAGCGACCCAGTTTTCCCTGCACCATTTATTGAACAAACTTTCTTTGCTCCAATGCATAGTCTTTGCCCTTTTGTCAAACCCACCATAAATCTGTGGGTTTATTTCTGGATTTTCTATTCAGTTCCATTGGTCCGTGTGTCTGTTCTTGTTCCAATACCATGCAGTTTTGATTATTATGGATTCAAGTAGACTTTAAGCTGCACTTATCTTTAGTTTTAAAAATGTCTTTGATAGAAATAAAAGTAAGCATTCGATCACCGTGGCTTTAAAAAGGGGGAGAAAACCATCATAAACTTCATGAGGGCTCAGATGTTTTCTTCCTGGCTTGACTCCTCCATGCTGGCCTCCTGGAGTGGGTACAGAGCCTATGGTTAATGGAGCAAAAGTTTGGAAAATGAAGGATGATAAAAGTAAAGTACTTTAGGAGAGAAATGGGCAACTTCTTCATTTTATAAATAAGAAAAATGAGAGGAGGGGGCAACAGTGCTTA